CTGGACGCCCACTCTCAGCACCTGTGTTCGGCACTCAGGCAAGGAGAGTAAGTGGCAGGCGTTCAGACTGGAAGGGAAGGAGGAAGCTCAGTTACTGGTGAGGCGATGTCGTATGTGGAAAAGTCTAAGACACACACATTCACCTGTTAGAACTAGTAATCTGGTTCAGCAAGGCTACCGGATACAACATCAGTATATGAAAATAATTTGTATTTCTGCGCCCTAGAAATGAATAGTCAAAAAGGAAATGGAGAAAACTTTTATTTACAATAACACCAAAAATAGCAAAATACTGGGGAATAAGATTAAGATAGCAGTACTCCACAAATTGATCTACAGATTCAGCACAATCCAGATTGAAATCCCAGCTGGCTCTTTTGCAGAAATTCACAAGCCTGTCTGAAATTCACATGGAAATGTGAAGTAGCCGAAACATGACCTGGGTCACCTCAGGCTGCTGTGACAAACGCTGGAGACCTCTGAGACCTCAGGCCTTAAGCAGCCAAGCGTTTGCCTCTTGCAGTCCTGGAGGCTGGAAGTGCAGATCATGGTGCCGCAGGCTTGGTTCCTGGTTTGCAGATGGCTGCCTTCTTGCTGTGTCCTCATCTGGGAGGAGGGGGGTGGTCTTTTCCTCTTGCAGAGACTCATCCCATAATGGAGGCGCCACACTTGTGACCTCCTCTAAAACTACTAACACCACTGCATTGCGGGTGTGGAGGGCACACGTTCAGTCTACAGCAATCTTGAAGAACAAAGCCGTAGGGCCCACAGTCCCGTTTTCGGAACTCATTCCTGGCTGTAGCCATCAAGGCTGTGGGACTTGGGGAAGGGTGAGATGATAGACCAGTGGGGTAGAGCTGAGAGGCCAGATGCAGACCCACACAGTCTTCTGCAAGAGTGCCAGGCCTTCACTGGGGAGGGAAGAGCGCTTTCAGCGAGTGGTTCTGGGACAGCTGGTCGTCCACGTGCAGAAGAATGAGGTTGGCCCCCACTTCACACCATACATACACAGATTAACTCAGAGGCCAGATTGTGAGCGCTAAAAACAAAGGCTTGAACCTTCAAGATTAGGTAGTGGTTTCTTAGGTACTGTGAATGAAAAATACTGCAAGCGATGTCAGTAAACAAAGAATGCTGAAACCATCAAGTCCTCAGCGGCTGCCCCCCCCCCCAGTGAACCAGCCTGCAGCCCGGCCTCTGCAGCCACTCACAAGGTGCACCCTGAGGGGACTCGGTAAGAAAGGACAGGACACTGGCCCTGGATGGCCAGGTGCTTGTCAGAGGAATGAATTCAGTGAGCCCAAGTGTTTGCTCCCTCCCATACACAGAACAGTGCTAAATTCTTTAACTTGAGATGTCTGGCTTTCTTCAGTTAACAAGTAATCTTTTAAGTTCTGACTACCTGGTCTTTGTTGTAAACCTGTGTATGCTAACTTCTCCCCTGCCTCTTCAGAGCAGTCCCTCGGAGCGAGTTGAGAGGCTGTCCTCCCAGGCTGAGTCCTCAGGCTTGTCCACCGAATAAAACATAACTCAACTTTTAGGCTGTGCATTTATTCAGTCGACAGTATAAACACAGAAAGCAAATTTGCACATCACGTCTGATAAAGGTCTCATACCAGCGTGTGTAAAGGACCCCTGTAGTTCAGCAGTGTAAAGGCGCGCAGCCCAGCCTTAGGTGAGACAGGCTTCTCCAAAGAGGGGCGCGGCACAGCAGCACGAGAGGCTGCACGTTGTTAGTGGGGCAGAGGAACCATGGTGAGGTGCTGCTGTGCACCCCGAGGGGGGCTGTGACCAGAGAGGTGGGGATTAAAGGTGCTGATGAGGATGTGGAGAAGCTGAAGTCCTGCTTGCTGCTCAGGAATGTGACGTGGTCGGGAATGGCCTGGTCGTTCTCTGGAAAGGTCAGCCGTTACCGTGTGACCTGGCAGCTCCACTCTAGATACGCCTGGGAAAGAGATGAGGACATGTCCACACAAAACCTGTACAGGAGTCTTTATAGCCCCAGAGTGGACTGTCCAGCCCCTTACAGATGCATAGACGAACGCGCTGTTCATACAGCAAACACAGCGCAGAAGAGAGGAGTGATGTACGTGCTGCGTTGTGGACAGAGCTTGGGAACATCACGACAAGTACAAAGCCCAGCAAAGGCCACGGGACGTGTGATTCCACCCGTGTCCAGAGTAGGAGACCCCTGCGGGCAGGCGGTAGATTGGTGGCTTGCTGCACTAGGGGGACTTCGGTAGGCTAAGGGTTCTTTCTGGGGTGATGAAAATGCCGTGGAAGTAGGCAGCAGTGACGGCTGAATGGCCTGGCGGCTGTACTGAAAACCACTACTTTGTGCACTTTAGTTAAAAGGGTGAATTTTATGGTGTCTGAATTATATCTCAATTAGAAACTGGTAAAATAAAAAATGATGCTGTTTACCTTAATTGTCTTTCTTCTTGACTGTCTTTGAAGAGCAAGAGTTTCAGTTTTGATAAAGATTGACTTACCGGTGCCTCTCTTGTAGTTAATGCATTCTGTGTCCCTGTGAAAAATCTGGGTCTATTTTAAGGATGTGTCGATTTTCTGCTGTTTCTGTCTAGAAGTTTTAACGTTTTAGCTTTTGTGTTCAGGTCTGTGCTGCAAGGGAGTCTGTGCAGGTTGTGGAAGGTACTGGTCGAGGCCTGTCGGTTTTGCACGTGGGTGTCCAGCCCTGGCTGTACAGAGACGGCCGTTCTGCCCAGGGCCGCCCCGCTTCCTGGGTCACCACCTGGACCGTGCACGGGCCCACCCCTGGGTCCCCACCCTCTGCTGGTCTCTGTGTGCCATCCCAGACCAGCACTTTGGAACCAGGTACCCTTGCCCAAAGTCATTGAGAGTATTTGCTGTTGTGCTAAAAACGTGTAAAATTAACCATCTTGATCATTTCTAAGTGTCCAGCAGCATTACCCGCACGCCTGGATCTGCAGAGCTCTGATCTCGCACGACTGGGGCTGCACCGCTAGAGGCCGGGAGTCCAGACAGGGCTCCAGCCTCCCCGTCCTTGCCGCCCCCTGTCCCCGGGCGTGCGGTGCTCTCCCGTGGTTTGGATTCGCGTCTCCCCGAGGACTGGTGGTGCTGAGCACCTGTCCCCGTGTGTGGGGGCTGCGTCTCTCTCGGGGAATGTCAGTTCAAGTCCTTTGCCCGTTTTTCAGTTGGTTCCTTGTCTTTCTGGCGTGGAGCTGGAGGAGCTCCCGCACGCGCTGGACACGAGGTCCTTGTCAGACAGGAGGCCTGCTAATCTTCCTCCCCTTTCTGGGTTGCCTTTTCGCTCTGATGACTGCTCCCTGTGCTGCACAGGTATTTTTAAGTTTAATGTCTCGTTTGTTACCCTTTGTTTTTCGGTTGCCTGTGCTTTGGGGACTGTATTGTTGATGTTTTCCTCTTTTGAGAATTCTTCCAAAGCCTGTTAGATTTACGGTCCTGTTCTCCATGTGTATTCAGACTATGCGGTTTTTTTCTTTTCAAGGGATACATACGTTTTCTATTGGTCTGGCTCTTTCTTGTTTTCTTGTATCTCCTTGATTTTACTGTTGTAGTCTCACTGAGGACTGTCTCAGTAATTTTCTCCCGGGGGGGGGTTAGCTGCTAAGCTTGAAGCCTTGCATATCTGAAAGCATCTCATTTTGCCTCATTCTCAGTGATACTTTGGCTTGATTTAGAGTCCTTAGCATTTCTGAAATTCCATTCCTTCTTTTGGCAAAAGCCCTGTGGGAAGGAGCCCTTGGTGACAGAACAGCAGGGGACAGTTTGGGAAGAGCAGGAGAGGTGAGGCCAGGGCAGCCAGGGAGCTGGCTGGGGGCTCAGCATGTGCACACAGGCAAGGATGCAGATTCTAGGAGCTCCTGTAGGGGGAGGGCCGCTGCTCACACCCAGACCCTGAGTCACAGGTGAGCTCAGAGACTGCCCAGGCAGCAGAAAGTGGGACCTGGAAGCTCAGCCCTGCGGAGCACGGGGCCCAGCTGACATGGGCCCTGAGGGCATGGGTGGGGTGTGGAGGAGTGAGGCCACGGGGATGCCAGTCAGGGCCACTTGGAGGTCAGGGTCGGGAGCGGCGGCCCCCAGGGGTCCAGGGGGTCTTTGCAACTGTCAGAGCGAGGCTGGTGTGGCAGCACCCAGGGTGGCCTGCAGAGCGGTCTGAGCGGTGGTTTTGTTACCACACCGTAGCGGTGGGTGGGCCAGGTCCCCAGTTGGCTTCTTTCATCAAAAGAGAAGTGGTTAAATGTGATATAACCCTACAGCATTAATTGCGAGGACTGGCTCCTGATCATGGACTGATGGAGAGAGCTTCAGAGTGGGTACCTCAGGCCCACAGAGCTTGCTTCGGAATCCCCAGGCTCATGTGCCGAGTGCGGGGAGCCCGGTGCATATTCAGGCGTGTGTGTGGGCTCCCCGGGCAGGGCTGTGACGCTGCTGACGCTGGAGCATGGGGAAGGGGCCTTTGGGAGTGAGGGCAGGTCTCCAGAGGGCGGGGCGGTGACCACGACGTTCAGTGCTGCCTCGTGGCTGCCTGTGTCCCATGCTCTGTAGGGAGTGGGCGGCTTTTATAACTGGGGAAAGGGGCATCCGCTCACTAGGATTCTGTGTTACTGGGATCCCCGTGAGCATCGACACCCTGACTTTTTCTGACCGTGAGTCCTCGGCCGCGTCCGCTCCTCTGCTGCTCCACCAGGCTCCCCTCAGGGATGTCGTGGGTTGTCACAGCCAGTGGGTTAGCACCCTGCGTTTCTCTCCTTTTGGTCATTTCCGTAACTGTTGTTTGGGGTGAACTTGGGGATTCTGCCTCTAGGCTTGTGTCCCCATCCAGTAACCCAGATGGCCCTCCGCTCACATGAGCCTTTGGTGGGCTCTGGCAGGTTTCAGAAGAGACTTGTTTTTAGGGAACTAGAAGCCAACGCCTCCCGCCTCGACAGGTGCCACAGAGGAGGCCCACGAGTCCGCCCGCCACCACATGCACTCAGCCGTCCTGTCTCCTGCAGGTGCCCTATGAGACGCTGAACAAGCGCTTTCGAGCCGCGCAGAAGAACATCGACCGTGAGACGAGCCACGTGACCATGGTGGTGGCCGAGCTGGAGAAGACCCTGAGCGGCTGTCCGGCCGTGGACTCTGTGGTCAGCCTCCTGGACGGAGTGGTGGAGAAGCTCAGCGTCCTCAAGAGGAAGGTTGGTGCCACTCCGGCCCCCGGTGGCCTGGCTCTCGGGCTCACCCTCATGCAGTTTGCTCTGTGGGGCTGGAGTGGTGGGGCGCGTCCCCTCCCCTGCTGGCTGGCTTCCCGCCCCAAGTTCCTGCCCCTGTCGGACTGGTTGTCCCGACCCCGGTGTCCCAGGCCCAGGTGGGGAGGCCAGGGTGGGCAGCAGACTGATTTACTGTTTTGAGAATTTCACCTCAAAGCAGCATCTTGTATCTTGTTTCTGGGAGTAATAGATGTGCCGCTGAGAACAAGCAACACTGAGGTAAGATATTGTAAAACATTTCATTGAAAGTACCGAGGGGCCCAGGAGACAGGAATCAGCAGGGTTGGGGCGCAGGGGTCAGAGGGGCCAGGTGGCCAGGGAGCACTGCTGCCTCCGGAGAGCCGGCCGCGCCAGGCGCGCGGCCTGGGGTGCGGGGGCCAGCAGTGGGGCGCCAGGTGGCCGACCTCTGCGGCATGATGCCTCAGGTGAGGGTGCCCAGGGCGGGCTTGCCCAGCAAAGCCCTGCAGCCCTGCTCTGAGCGCCAGGTGAGCCGGGACCGCAGCTCCAGCCCGGAGAGGGTGGTCCTGGCTCCAGGCAGAGCAAACTCAGGTCTCTCGAGCGGAGGGCGCCTTGAGTCTGCATGTCTGATTGTTCAAGTCCAGTGACCGGCACGGTTGGAGAACTAGGCCCTGGAGACACAGAGGGGCGGCAGAAAGGGGCCTGCGGACCCCAGGTGGTTGCCAAACACCATACTTTGTTTAAAGGTGAAAAGTCGGCTTCAGAACGTCTTCAGGGAAGAGGAAGTGTAAGTGATTTAGAATTGTACACAGAAACAAACAAAACTCTAAGAAATGAAAAATACAATGACAGATGAAAACCTCACGTTTGCTTACAGCAAGCTTTTCAACACACAACAATCAGACCAGGCTGCAGAGAGCACGGGGAGCGGGTCGCGGGCAGAGCCGGAGGGGAAGGCAGCAGAGCCAGAGCAGAGACTGCCCTGCTGCCACAGTCGGGGGCGGGGGGGCAGCCAGGACGGACAGGGAGTGGCAGGAGGTTTTCAAACTGCGGAGTCCCCGGTTTTCACTTAGTGAAACTGAAGGAAACAGAGACAGAAAAATCTTAAAAGCAGGTAGAGGGGCAGTCTGCTTCTAAAGGGGCAGCAGGTCTCCTGACAGCGGGCTTGATGGCATTGGAAGCCAATACATGGTGGACGGTGCTGGAAGGAAACGGGCTGGCCAGGCTCCAGGCCTGCCGTCCAGTGCGTAGCCCCTGGCCGTGTGTGTCCTCTGACTCTGAGATGGAAGAAGATCGAGACCTCAGTGCCTGGTTGCACCCGTCACATTGAGGGGGTTGGCGGTGGCCGCCGTGTGACACTGTGCAGAACGTTTCTGCGCAGCTGTGTTAACTTTGAGTAAAACTGACACTAAGGAGAAGTATTGTAAAAGACGGAAAGTCACTTTTAATGACAAGTGGTTTAGTAAACTGGGAAGCTGGGACAAACGTAACACCCTACATGCCTGGCAGCGTAGGTCCAGGGTGCACGAGGCGGAACGTGGCGCCCCTGAGCAGAAGGCACAGGGCCCCCCAGGCCGCGGGTGCGCCTTCCCTCTGACCTGCTCCGGGTGTCAGCGCTCGGGATGGGTTGGGGGGTCCCCACCTGCCCTGAGCGCCTCTCTGTCCGTGTGTCGCAGGCGGTGGAGTCGATCCAGGCGGAGGACGAGAGCGCCAAGCTGTGCAAGCGGCGGATCGAGCACCTCAAGGAGCACAGCAGCGACCAGCCGGCGGCCGCCAGCGTGTGGAAGAGGAAGCGCATGGACCGCATGATGGTGGAGCACCTGCTGCGCTGCGGCTACTACAACACAGCTGTGAAGCTGGCACGGCAGAGCGGCATCGAGGTGGGCCCGCGCCCGGCCCTTCCTGAGACCAGGCTCCGCTTTCAGCGCTCCGAGGGGGCCTCAGTGCCTGGACGCAGGACTCTGGCGGTTGTGGCTGCAGTGCTGTCTGCGCTCTGATGCGCAGGAGCGTGGCCAGGCCCCTGCGCCCCGCTTTTCTGACAGCCGCACACAGATGTGTCCCGAGACCATTCCCATTGGCATGAGCGTTTTTCTGGGGCGGGCCTGTCTTCCCCCAGTGGGTTTGCAGTGGTCTGCGGGGTGTGGTTGGTGGTGCTCGCGATGCCCTGGCCCCGGCGGGAAGGCCACTGGTGGGATGAAGGTGTACCTGGGGCCACTCTCGCTGTCGGCAGTGGTTCCCTGGGGTAGCATTCACCAGGTGGGGGGCCGCAGGGTTCGGAGCTGCCCAGACAGAGTGCATGGCCGCCCCGCTCTGCTGTGTCCCACGTTAACTGAAACCTCCGGTGCACTGCAGTGTCTTCATCATCTTCTTGTCCCATGTTGGTTCCTGGCAGGGCCCCACTCCAGTGTGCTCCTCTGACCTGGAGTTGCGGCCTCTGCCATATGCTCAGTTCCCCCTGGGTCTACCCCCTCCTCAGCCTCATCTCAGTCACAGGGCCGCTGGCCTTCTTGGGCCCACCTGCCCCCACCATGATCCCATCCCTTTGCATGGCGTAAATCCCACCTGTGTGTGCGTGACTCCCAACCCCAGCACAGGACCCCTGCCCCCAATGGGGCCACTCGTCTCAGCCTGGTGCCCAGCGGTCCTCTGTGCCTGTTCCAGCACCCCCTTCCTTCCTTCCCTGCCCAGCACGGCCAGCTTCTGCCTGACCTGCATACTCTCTGACCCTCCTGCCCGTGTGTGGTGGGCACTGGGTGCACAGACACTGCCCCCCAGCACCTGTGAGGGTCTGGCTACACACACCTTGAAGTAGCCGGTGAAACACAAGCTCCTGCTCCTCCGGGCCCCGAAACGTGCACTCGGGGAGCGAAGCGCTCAGCGGACTAGATTTGTTGATAGTGATGTGTCTACAGAGGTGCAGAGGGACCAGAGCTGGCCATCTCCAGGAGAAAGGCAGCGTGCACCTCACAGAGGAGATAATCCAGAAGGCGGTTTCCACGTGGAGCCCCAGCGTCACAGTGTGTGCAGAGGTGAAGGTCTGTTCTAGACACAAACTCGGGAGGATGTCCCTGTGGCCTCAGGGTGGTGCAGGGTCCCCAGCGGGATGCCTGCCGTCACTAAGGAAGAGGCAGCAGCACCAGGGTTTGTTAACATTAAGAACTTCTTTTCATGAAAAGAAACCGAGGAGAGCACGTGCCCCAGCAGCCCAGATGGTCGCGGCACCTGTGTGGGGCCACTGCGCCCTCTGCCTTGGACGTCTTGCTGGCACCTCCCGGGAGGGGAGAGCTGGGCCCACCTCCGGTTGCTGGTTTAACGTCTTTACTGTCACTCCCACCCTCGAGGGTCCATGGACGTCAGAGGGCCGTCAGCAGGAAAGAGGAGGACCTGGCAAGACCGCATGGATGGAGGACACACAGGCCGCGAGGAGCTGGGGAAGAGACCGCCTCTTGGAATTTAGAGCAAAACTGAGAAAGGTGGAAAACAGGAGAGGAGAAAGGTGGAAAACAGGAGAGGAGAAAGAATAGGGTGTCATCACGGAGACCTAGCCTTTTCCAACAGGACGGGCTCTGGAAAAGAGGGGAGGAAATAGTGGCACAGGAAAGCTGCCAGACTCCACAGTGAGGGTCCTGAGCTGAGTCCCAGTTGCAGTGGCCACGTGGCCGGAACTCCTCCTGGAAGCAGCAGCCACACCGGGAGGGATGGGCATCAGGGTGGTCTGGACATGGGGCTGTGGGAGCCATGAGGGTGTCAGTCACGTCCACTGCCTTCATGGGCCCCAAGTGCTGTCCCTTCTGAGGCCACAAGGAGAGCCACCCTTTGTGGCCACCCTGAGCTGCCTGCCGTCAGGAGTGGCCCTGGGGCAGCTGGAGAGCTGACAGCGTCCGGTGCACACACCAGACAGTGGCACACCTCTTGCCCTCTGGTCACTTACTCTTCTGCCCTTGACTGGAGGTTGCTCAGTTCCACAGGAGCCACTCCAAGAGCACCGGTGCTGGCCCACAGGTGCCGCTGCGTCGCCAAGTAGTAATAGTGCTTGGTTTTTTTGTGCTTGTTAATTTTGCCTTAAGTGCCTGGTTTTCTCTGTGGAGATCAGCCAGCGTGTGCTTCTTGATGCGCATACCCTTACTGCTTCTTCCAAGGTAGAACTGGTGTCTGGCGTCTTCTGGGGCTCCTTGTGTTGGAAGGCATGCATCTTATGCTGCATTCACCAGAGGGACCCTGCGTCCTTTCTGCAGCCACAGCTTCTCCAGGGAGCTTGATGTGGCCCTGGTGCTCGGACACAGAAGCTCTGTAGCAAGCTTCTGGCACTCTGCATGCCGACCTTGGCTGAGCGCGTGTGGGCCAGAAGGTCCGCGTGCCCTGTGGTTTGTGAGGCCTGAGCAGGGGTGCCAGAGACATGTGGAGCCGGCGGACGGCGTGGAGAGTCCCGGGGCTCTTAGGGCTGAGTGTTCCACCCAGTCACAGGAGCTGATCTTTGCTGATGGTTTTTGCTCAAGTCTGTTCCAGATAGAAGAGAAATTAACCATTTGAAATTTCCTTTTTCTTCACGTGGGCCCCTCCTTTTGTGATATCCAAGCATTCATCACGCCACCCTGTGTGGCTGGGGAAGTCCTTCTTGCTGGCTGTGCCCTGACCTCCTGTGGGGAACCTCACACCTCTGGCACTACACAGAGCCCCCTGACTGCAGCAGGTGTGTGCTTGAGTAGGTGGGTCACGGCTGCAGGTCCCTGGCCCTGCTGGCATTTTCCAGCTCCGCAGACGGCTGCCCTCCGTCTGCCCTCCCAGATTGCCAGGTCTCAGAGAAGGAGAGCAGGAAGCAGACCACCGAGGCAAGAAAGATACAGCCCCCATCCATCTACTGCCCTGTCTCAAAAACGTAAACTTCAAATCAGTCTTCAGAGCAAACACAGTGGAAATGAGGGTACGGACTGCTGGGGTCTGCAGGACTGCCCTGTGAAGGGGTGATATGCGGCAAGCCATGCCCTCGCTGCCTGAGGTTCTGGCTGAGCTGGGGCTCTCACCCGGCGTGAGAGCAGGCATCCTGTGCGCTGTGCAGACCCGGCCCGCGGAGGGGCTGCCTGGTTGTGGGGATGCTCCTGTGAGATGAGGCTGGGGGCGCGGGGAGCCCAGGGCCTGGGCTGGGCGGGTCCAGAGTCCAGTTCTTTGAACCACTTCCTTCCCCGCAGGACTTAGTGAACATCGAGATGTTCCTGACGGCCAAAGAGGTGGAGGAGTCCCTGGAGAGGCGCGAGACCGCCACCTGCCTGGCCTGGTGCCACGACAACAAGTCCCGCCTGCGCAAGATGAAGGTGCGCAGGCTGCGCCCGGGGCGGGGCTCCCGGAGGGGCGGGGCTGCGCCGGGCAGAGCTTGCAGAGGAGGAGGGGTGGCAGAGGAGGGCCACCTGTACCCCGCCAACGGTGCCTTCCCCTGTGGGTTTAGAGTTCTGTGGTTCTGGTTCACAGGGTGGGGTGCTCGGATTTGGTATGGGTTTGGAGTTTTGGTGATGGTGTTTGGGTTTTAAGTAAAGTGCCTGAAAAGTGCACCCTGTGCATTACGGTTTGGACAGATGTTCTGAGCATGTGGTTGTGAAGGAGCGAGGTGCCGACCACACGTGCGCTGCACAGGGCAGCTGCTGGGGTTGGAGCCAGTCTTCCTACCCACCTGCTCAGGCCTGGCTCGGGAAGCCCCGAGTGCCCGCCCGCCGGGCTGCGGAGTTTTGGGCTGGGATAGTCTTTTCAATTAACAGCCTCTCTTGAGACCTACAAGCAGCTTAAACAATAGATACTTAAATGTAAATGCAGGATTTCAACATGCTTACTGAAGGGCGTCATCGCCACAGGGCTTGCAGAAATGCTTGATTATGTTAACCTCCCCTGCCCCCTTAGAAAACCTTTGTTTTCTGTGTCCTGGACTGAGTGCCTCTAACCCTGCCCCGTTGAGCCTGTCGTGTGCACGTAGTCACCAGCCAAGGGTGACACTCTCTGCCACTCAGGGCCGCCAAAGCGAGCACGACGCGAAGACGGGACGGAAAAGTAGAGTGGCCAGTGGCTCCCTTAAAGAGAGTGAGGATCTTGGTATGGAAACCATAAAAGGAAAGCCAGAATTGGTATGTAACACACACCCGCTCTCCTGCTCCACCCCCACAGCTGTGCGCCCGTGGGGACAGGGTCAGGAGGAAACGGGCCTCTGGTCGTGACAAGTGGTTCTGCAGGCCCTGTTACCTCCCAGAGCACACTGCTGCTTGGCGAGGGTACGCCTGGTGGGCTGGGTTGCAGGTGGGGCCTCGCAGCTACAGGGTGGGCCGGTGGGGGCAGAACCCACAGATGGCGCATCCCGTGGCCTTCCCACTTCACCTGAAGAACGTAAATAGCCATGTGACCTGAAGGCGTCAGAACATGCTCATTACAAAATACCAACTGAACAGAGTCGGTACCAGGTCTCTCACAGTGTGTGTAGCATGTGCACACATGGGCTCACACACTCGACTGCCCATGCAGGCCAGGGAGGAGTGAGGGGGCCGGGAGGGGCCGTGCCAGACGCCTGCGTCCCTCAGATCAGGGACGCGACTCTAGACGAGGAAAGAAAGCGTGAGGCCCAGGTTTCCCACAGTTGGAAAGTACTTCCACGGAAGTGGGTGTGGTGAGCGAGAGTCCCAGCGTTGACCCGGGGCTCTGGACGCTTAATGGGTGTCAGCATGCTGCCGCGTGTCTGCAGCTCAGACAGGGTCGGGACGGCAGCGGCCCAGCCTCTTCGCGAGCGCATGTGGCGTGGTGTACATTCAGCACTTGCGTGCTCACCTAAACACTTGGTGCGTTGCTCGCCTCTCCGCGGACTGCCTGAAGGTTAACCTGTGAGCGCAAAGAGCTGCCACAAGTAACAGAGCGTATTCCCAAGTGTCGGTTGTGCAAAGCTATCACCTGGGGTTTACCCGGGACACTCCCTGCTGGTCCCCGCCCTTGGCCTTGCTGGTCTTGCTCTGTGGGGGCTGCATCCTCTTCACTGGTTTGTGCCACACGCACCCCGCTCCACCTGGTCAAGGTCGAGAGTCAGGATAGACTACTGCCCGGGGCTCGGTCTCCCCACGCAGAGGGCAGGGAGACCCGCCTTCCCTGAGCACCTGCGGTGTGGATGCGAGGGCTCCCGGTGAGGGGCTCTCTGTACCTTTGCGGCCTCTGACGCCCTGGGCAGCACAGCCTGTCTGTCAGGTCAGCCTGTGCTCCACCCTTCGGTCCCTGAAGTGGGGGCTTCATGGGTGCTCTCCCCAGGTCTGGCCAGGGCGCTTCCTGAAAATGCAGTGGACATGCTGGAGGCTCGGGTGGGGAGTCTGCGTGGTTGGTAAACACAGGTTGAGTGTTCACCATCCTGTGACCTGGGTGTGGTGGAAGTGGAAGCAACCTCGAGTGGAGACCTTGAGGTTTGCCTCTTGTTCTGCCTCCACGTAGTCTGTTTCTGGTTGGAAACACTGAGTATTTTCTGAAACCACTTTGGAGATATTATAGTCTAAATTACTATTTCTGTAAAATAATAGGGTTCTTCTTCTTAGGTCACAGAAGTTAATTTTGCCCTTTTGCCCTTACCCCAGCCGCAGGAGTTTTAGCCCAAATTCGCTAAGATTCAGAGTTAGTTTGGGCTTCTACACAAGCGACCCCACTGGTGGTGCCCTGTTAGCACCCCTCAGAGGCTCCTGTGGCACTTTGGGACAGTCGCCCCCCAGACACAGCTGGCCCATGGCTTCCTTGCAACCTGCCAGGTGCACCCCCACACCTCTCGCACCCTCGGCAAGTCCTGGGGCTTCTGCCTTTTATACCAACCAGTATCTGACCAGCGTTCACCTCCTCTGCCATCTCTGCTTGGGACATTCTCTGCTGGGGTCTGTACGGCCCCCACCCCAACCTGAGGGTCCTCGCCCAGGGCTCCCTGCTAGAGACCTGGGTTCTCCACCCCTCTCCCGTCTCCCCCCTCTGGAGCAGCCCTGGCAGGGTGGCCTGCGCCCCGTGTGATTCCAAGGCCTGCCAGGCACCAGGCAAGGCTGGTGGTGGAGGCAGGTGTGGCAGTCAGGACGCAGATGTGGACACGCGCTTACCTGCTCTGTCTCCGTCAAGGAGTGGAAGCCTTTCTTCCCGCGATTACCCACTTCACTTGGGAAGTTGTATCCCCTGCCCTCCACCATCCGCCGCCCCCCAACGGCCGTGCTTAGGGCCTTTGACCTCGGGTTGCCTGACTGCTCTCACCACACTTCACCAAGGCCATGCTGGGAGGGGCTGCGCCTGCTGACCGTCAGAACTGCAGAAGAGCTGGCTGCAGATTGAAATTAGGGTTTTGGCCACAGACCTGCCTCCCCAGTGGCTCTGAGCTTCCTGGCAGTGTGTGCAGCATCAAGCCGGGACACGGCTCTGCAGAAACATGTCTGAGCCACTGTCTTATCTTCCCCTTAGAGCTGCCTGGAGTTTAGCCTAAGGATCCAGGAGTTCATTGAACTCATCCGGCAGAACAAGAGACTGGACGCTGTGAGGTACGGCTTCTCCCTGATGTCCCCTCCAGTCTGGGTTCTGGGCAGGCAGCACGGGGCCCTGCCGGTGACTAACAGCCAGCTCCTCTCCCTGTCCCTGGAGTGTGGGTAGGCCCGTGGCTCGGGAGGCCCCTGACGTGGCCGGACCTCTGTCAGGTCCAGTGCCGTCAAGGTAGGGCTGTTTCCATGTGGTTTCTGCGGGGCCTGGCAGCCCGAGCAGAAGGATGGGGACTCTGTCACTTGCTCCTGGCCAGTCTCGCTGGGGGCACGGTGTCCCTGGGCAGCACTGTCATGGTCTCCCGCTCGGCCCGCCCTTGAATGCAGACACCCTCACTGCAGCTCCGCTGAGCTCTCTGCTGGGTTCAGCCTTGCACTGTGAGCCAGAGGAGCACTGCGAATGCAGCTCCTCGCAGAAGTCGGCCAGGCAGACTTGCAGGGTGTCTGTCGTTTTGGGAACCCTGCGGCCCAGCACCCAGCGCCCTTCCTGACAGCATGGGGACAGGTTGGGGGCTCCAAGCACAGGGGACAAGGTGTTTATGGGTGGGCCAAGGGCAGATTTTCCCTCAGGACAGAGGGACCCTCTGTGAAGGTGGCACAGGGTCCCTGCATCCTCCTGGCTTCCACTCGCACACTGGGGCTGAGAGGGCCTGGAGTCTGATCAGTGGACCTCAGCGAGGCTGTTCTGGGGGTGCGGGTGGAGGCAGTTCCAGGTGCCATTAGTGTCATTGAGTCTGGGCTCGTGTGACCTGAGGTTCCCTGGGAGAGCTCCGGCAGGTGTGGATTCTGCACTTGGTGCATCGTGCCCCATCCTGTGCCCTTGTGGTGGGGTGCTTGGGTCACAACACTGCGTGTCTGGGTTGGGGCAGTGCTACGGGGAGCTGAGCATCTGGCAGACCCAGCCCTGGCATGTGGCTCTGGCTTGAGCTCAGCTTCTTAAAGATGGACATGCAGCCTTCAGTGGGCCAAACTGTCGTTTTCCAGACACGCAAGAAAGCACTTCAGTCAGGCCGAAGGGAGCCAGCTGGACGAGGTCCGCCAGGTGATGGGCATGCTGGCCTTCCCGCCGGACACGCACATCTCTCCCTACAAGGTAAGTGCAGCCGGGGCCTCGGGGCTGGGGCCCCTGCCACGCTCAGCGTGATGGCCACACTACGTAGGCCTTCCCCATTTTGCTCCCGTTCCGCTGGTGAGGACTCTGAATCGGGACAGTGCCTGAATCTCAGCCTAAAAGGCACCATGCTTCAGTCCCAAGGGCTTCAACACTTCCTTCACCTCCTGCCCGTCTGTGCCTGGAGCTCTGCGGGCAGGACTGGACAGGCCCTGGGGGCCTCTGTCCTTCCCAACCTCACCTGTTTCTGCCAGGGTCTGTCCTCCCCTGCACCAGGCACATCTGCCCTCAGTCCCTCCCCTGGATGGTTCTCCTTGACCATGAGGGTCTGTATGGGATCCGGGTGGGGACGGAGCCCCCACAGCTGTGGTCCTGCTGAAAGCAGGTGATGGCCCCCTTTTAAAATACTCGGGGGCAGCCCTGATGATCTGTGACTGTGTTTGGGGTTGTCTTGAAAAATAGCGCACATTCTCAGCCTGGCCCCGTGCTGTAAAATCTAAGTAGTCTGAAGACCCCCCCTTCTTTCTTTCCCATCTTCCTCCCATTCTGTCCAAACTGGGGTTTCTGGACGGTGGCCCATTACGTCTGGGGCAGCACCTGCCGCCAGTATCCTGATCAGAGTGGCCTCTCCTCAACAGCCTCTCTCGGTGTTTGCAGTGGGGACAATTTTCCCATCCTGAGGTGGTGGTCGCTTTCAATGAACAGTTCCTTCTGTCTTTGGGTCATTTCTGTCTTCTCGATTTTTCTTATAAACACTCAAGAAAAGCCACGCTTCACCTTCATCCAGATGCCCGGCCTCATCACCCCGTCCCACCTTCCATGAGCACAGTTCAGCCAGGCCCCGTGCCCCTCAGTTCCCAGTGACCTGTGGCATGTCCGTCTGCAGCCTCGTCAGCATGGACTTTGCGGTCTGTGTTTCTGCCACCATCCTGTCCACAGCTCCTGAGGGTGCTCTCTGCCCCTCCTCTCCTGAGCCCTCACCATCCGTGGTCTGTTCCTTCCAGCATCACCTCTGAACTCGCAGCACTGCCATGCCCCAGCTCCAGAGCCAGCTCCACTTGCTTGGGTATTTGCTAACGGCAGCTCCCAGCTTCTGGTACCAGTTCTCTGTCTCAGTTCACTCTGGCTGCTGTAACAAAGCACCACAGTCTGGGGGCTTACAAGCAGCAGGAATCGATTTCTCACAGCTCTGGAGGCTGGAGGTCTGAGGTCAGGTTGCCAGCGTGGTCCGGTGAGGCCGAATCGCACAGATTGCTCTCTCTGTGTCCTCAGTGGCGGGAGGGTAGGGGGCCCTCCGGGGTCTCTTCTTATAAGGGCACTAACCCAGTTCATGAGGCTCCACCCTTATGACCTCGTCACCTCCCAGAGGCCGGCCCCTTCCGCCCGGTACCATCTCCTCGACATTAGCGTTTCAGCTTGAGAATCTGGCAGGAACACACAGGCTCAGACCACAGTGCCCATCTCACTCAGACAGCTCAGTCCTGTTAAGGGAGCAAAAGTGTCACTCAGGGCAGGAAGGCGCAGGTGCATCCTGCTGGATCACAGCAGGAACTGGACAGCACGTTGTTTGGAGAGGGCTCAACCAAAGGCTGAGCAGGGTTCTCCGGAGCTGGCACTTGGGGTGTGGGCCTCTGGTCATGGGCTTCATTCTTTAGGGACTTTGATAGAAGAAACTGGAAAAGCATTTCTTGGGTGAGGGTATAGCTCAGTGGTAGAGTGTGTGCCTAGTGTGCACAAGGTCCTGGGTTCAATTCCCGGTACCTACGTTAAAAATTAAAAAAATTAAATATGGAAAGCACTTACTTAAATGTTGGGGTTAAGTGTGACGTGTACCCTGTGCTTAGACTCTGAGGAGCTCCCCCAGAACGTCTGATTGTGCTCTTGTTCATGTGCCTGCCCTCCCTCCCCACCCATTTTTGTCTAAACCTCGGTGGTTGTGGGGCAGACGTGAACCAGAGGTAACCGTCTGTCCTGCGGTTCTTGAGCCTGAAGTGGAGTTGGTATTTCCCATTTTAATAAGTTATTTCCTGGGATAAGACGTTTTCTTTCAAGCCTTAATGCTCTTAATAGGAGTCTCCTGAGCTTGCTGTGCTGAGCTGTCCTTCCAGGCCCCTGAGGCCTTGTCTTGCCAGGAGGCCACAGGCCCACATGCTCCAGAGCATCCTGCCGCCTCAGGAACGTCAGTGTCCCAGAAGGTCACTGCAGCAGGGGGCTTGTCGGAGCAGGGAAGTCAGAGCTGCCCTGCAGCTGCACATGTGTGGGTCAGTGGGGCTCGCCTGCGTGGAGAACGTGTTGTGTCGGTGTGCTGTCCTCACCCCTCTGTCCTGTCTCCTCCAGGACCTGCTGGACCCTGCCCGGTGGCGAATGCTCATCCAGCAGTTCCGCTATGACAACTACCGGCTGCACCAGCTGGGGAACAACTCCGTGTTCACCCTCACCCTGCAGGCCGGCCTCTCGGCGATAAAGACACCGTATCCTTCGTGCTGGGCATGGCACCCCAGTGCCCCTTCTTAGTGCGGGGCTCCTGTCCGTGATCCCGCACCTTCCCGACCTTCGTCCTCTTCCTTGACAGCAGGCTCTGCCCACCCTCTCCCCGACTTCAGACCCATGCCTTAATTGCGTTGCGTCCCACGGTGTTGAGACGGGGGTGGAGGGGTGGGGTGCCCCGTGAAACCCGCTCGGACGGGTCACCCCCACGTCCTGCCCACACGGCCAGTTGCACATAGCTTGCTGGGTCGGATGGGAACGAGCCATTCGGAGTGGCGTCCTGCGTGGTCCCAGGTGACCCTAGAACCTGACGCCGGCCCGCTGTCGTGTCGTGTTGTGTGGTGTGGTGTCGCGTCGCGTCGCGTGCGCCCCGCGCTCCTTAACCCGCGCCCAGGCAGTGCTACAAGGAGGACGGCAGCTCGCGGAGCCCCGACTGCCCGGTGTGCAGTCGCTCCCTGAACAAGCTGGCGCAGCCGCTGCCCATGGCGCACTGCGCCAACTCGCGCCTGGTCTGCAAGATCTCGGGAGACGTCATGAACGAGAACAACCCACCCATGATGCTGCCCAACGGCTACGTCTACGGCTACAATGTGAGGGCGGGGGCGGAGCCCAGAGGGAGGGGCCTGCAGAGGGTGGAGCTGCGGTTGGGGGCGGGGTGGCGCAGAGCCAGGCAGATCCCGGAACTGTCCTTTGAAAGCGGGGCTGGGTTAGTGAGAACCTCAGGGTTTCTTAGAGCGGGTACCAGCAGCAAGTAACTGCAGAGGAGATTTGTCTCAGTGGGGTTTCTCATGGACATGTTGATTTAAACTGCATGGACTGGAGTTCACATGCCTGGCCTTCCTTTGCAGTCCCTGCTCTCCATCCGGCAGGATGATAAGGTCGTCTGCCCGAGAACCAAAGAGGTCTTCCACTTCTCCCAGGCCGAGAAGGTGTACATCATGTAGGCGGCGGTGTGTCGCCCGGCAGCCGCAGGCCCTCCTGCCTGCTTCTCTGTTTCTTGCGACCAAAGATCAGTGAGCAACGACACACACTCTCGGGAAAAGAGGGAGGAAGATTTAACGAGCTCTGGCTTGATTTTGCAACAAGTCAGCTGTCTGACGCTTCTGAAGCGTGCTTTCACCTTTCAGAGGAACTTTTCTTGAAAGACTGACTCGGCAGAGGGGCACTAGGACATTTCAGATAGGACTCTGTTACCTCCCGTGCGCCCACACTTCCCTCCCTCTTGCTGATGACGAACCTAGGGGAACAGGCTGGTCCTCGGCTGTGGCCCCAAAGCCGTGGCAGCCACGCCAGACTGACCTGTGGTGACTCAGTGCCACGAAGGGCCCCGTCACTTCTCTGTAGAGCTGCTGCCAAACGCCAGCCTGTGGGCCTGGGCGGGGCTGGCTTCCAGGTGGCTGTCTGCCCTCAGCCGCGGCTGTGGGGCTGTTAGGATCCATAGGTCCAGTATTACGTCACTCCTGCCGCCTTACCTCCGCCTGAGAATGTATCACGTGGAAATCCACTGGACCCAGTGTCTGCAGAGGCCTTGCCGATGGTTCCATAACTTTAGCTCTAAATTCTCTTCATTACAGAAACAATAGTGCAGTTGAAATAACCACCAACGACTTTTCAAATCAGATGAAACATTGTAGTTTATACAAGCCCGTGCGTAGAGGTTTGTACTCGGCGCTTATTTTTGCATGTTGATGTTGATTAGCTAATAAACGATAAACGTTAAGACATGCCGATAAAGGGTTTCTACTCGTTCTATGTGAGGCACCAGAGGCTCAGCATTGCTGAGGGTCGTGTCTGCTGCTCGGCCTTCAGTCCAGGATGGAGGCCCGAGTTTGCCGTGAGCTCTGTCCCAGAGCAACCCCCAGGACCCCTTCGGCCTCGCAGGCGCCCCCCCCAAGCAGTGCCTGGTAACCAGGGGCCCTCTGCAGCAGAGCAGGTGCGTGGGCCGGGAGGAGGAGCTGTGTGGGCCCCTCTGCCCCGCAGGCTCTGCTCTATGGAAGGGACTCCCCCACCTACTGCCTCGGCCCCCAGCAGTCCAGAAGCTGTCCAGTTTCCCTTTGGCAGTTTCTTCTTAATTTGCACAGCTTCTGTTACTGTGGTCAGAGGGGGCTCAGCAGCAGCTGGAGGCCCCCCGGCCTGGTCAGCACAGAGCACACCTGCTGGGCGGGGCACCTGCCCGGCTTCCCCAGTGCCCAGACTGGCACTCTGTGCTGTTAACCTCTGTTCCTGCTCCTGCAAATGATTCCTGCTAAGACCACAGGTGGGCTCTGGGGCCCCTCGCTAACCACTCCCTCGCCTCAGGTCAGCCGAGCTTTCTGGGTTCCTCTGCTGCCTTCCTGGCCCCACCACCAAGCTTCCCTGGCCCTTGGCCTGCCCAGGAGTCTCCCTGCAAGCTGGCGGCTGTGACTCCCTGCCTGGGTCCCAGCTCTCTGCTCCCACCAGGTGCCCACACTGACCCCTGTGCCCGGGGTCCATGTCCCCAGGAGACCACAGCCTCTAGGACGTTGCTGTGCTCTGCTTGGGGGACCAAGGGTGGCAGGGCCATCTGACCTCCGTGCACAGTTGCCACCTACTGCCAGTTGGCCCCAGCACACATGTGGGCTCGTGGCCCTATGGGGCACAGTGGGTAGAGCTGTTCTCAGGGTGATGGGCTCTTCAGAGCTGCCCGCACCCTGGAGGGGAGTGACAGGGGTCTCTGCTGGCCATGCCCCCATCATCCAAGTCAGCGTTCCGGCAATGGTGGTTCTTGGTGAGAGTGGCTCAGCCAGTTCTCAGACTTGGTGAAAACGGAACCCCAGAGCTGGCTCCCTGGGCAGCTCCCCCTTCCCCTGGATGCCTTGAGCGGTGACTTCCCTTCTGCAAGCTGGTGGACTCTTGGGTTGTTTCCAGGTAAACCTGCCACGATCACTCTTGTATGTGGGACACATGCGTTCTGTGGGACGACATGGAGTTGCTGGTTGTGTGTCACTTTTACTAGACAAATGGCTGCCGTGGTCCACCTCACACCACCACCCACCTCCCCAGGCCCCATGCCTGGGCTTCGAGTCAGACATTCTGTTGGCTGTGGGCACCAGCTCACCGTGGGCTTGTTTAATTGGGGTAAAAACGGCCTATGTTGAAAAAAACTCTGAGTCAACAGCCGCGTGAGCTCTGACAAGCGCATGGGCTAGCGAGCAGCCCAGGCACACAGCTCACCCGGTGCTCAGCTGTCCCTCTGGGTCTCATCGGCTCAGGTGAGCTCTCCATCCTGGCTTGTCTCCCCCAGGAGCGCCTGTGGTCACTGTGGGCTGGGGCTCCTTGTCCACCGACCCCACGAGGGACCAGGATCGGTGCCCGTGAGAGTGGTGCCCACATCTCTGGATGTGCCTTCCTTTCTCTGGGCAGGGGTCTGGGACGGGCGCTGCATCCTGGTGTTGCCGTGTCTGACTCTGCAGCTGCCCGTCTCCCCTGAGCGTCCACCCTCTCGCGCCCTCCACCCCCCCGGCCGCCCGCCAGCACCCTTCTCTGAGCGCTGTGGGTTTTCCAGGCCGGGTCTGCATTTCTCTGACCACCTGTGATCCCGAGGTCCTTCCGGTTTGCAGAGTGGTGAGTCTTCTGCCCGTTTTTCACTAGATTATCTCTTTTTCCCTTTTTTGGGGGGGTGCGTAATTAGGTTTACTTATTTATTTATTACATGTACCGGAACTTCTGGACACCGCAGAGCATTCTAGAGCTGACCTGGCCTTCCAGCGCCGTGTTAAGTAGGAGGCTGAGGGTGGGCGGGCTCGTCTTATTTCTGGCCTCGGGTGGGTTGAGAGCGCCGTCTTTCACTGTGAAGGGGGTGTTGGCTGTGGGCTTTTGCACATGTTCTTTGTCGGGTTGAGGAAGTCTCCCAAGAGTCATTATCATGACTTGACGTTGAACTTTGCCAAATGTTCTTTCTGCGGCTAATGAAAGTACAGATGTTTTTCGTCTTTATTCTGTTGACGTGGAGAATTACATTTTATAATTTTAAGTTGTTCAACAAGCCTTGCGTTCCTGAGATAAACCCCACCTTGTGCGTTCTGTTTTTCCACATCGCGGGGTTTGACCTGCTGGTACTTCGCGGCGCGAGTCGGCCACTATGGCCTCTATCACTGTGTGACGTCTGTAGGACACGCAGTGATGCTCCCTCCCACTCCTGTGTCGTCGCTTGTTTCTTCTTAGTTTTCTCCTGCTCAGTCTAGCTAGAGTCACTTCTCTGGCAATCACTTTCCTATCAGTTTTATAGGCCATTCCAAAGAAGCACCTTTTGGTTTAATTTTTTTCCCTTGTTGTTCGACTGTTTCTGTTTGATTGGTTTCTGCTCTTTATTATGTTCTTCCTTCTGCCTATTTTGGGTTTAATTGCTCTTTTCCTTCTCACAGAGAAGATTACATTACTGATTTGGGTCCCTTCATTTCTAACATACACATTCTGTACATTTTAACGCTGTGTTCGTTTTCATGCAGTTCAAGATATTTTGTAGTTTCCCTTGTGTTTTTTCTTCCTGTGACCCGGGATTATCTAGGTGTCTGCTGGCTAACTTCCAAATATTGGGAGATTTTTCCAAGCATTTTTGTTCATCAAATTCTGGTTTAATTCTGTTGCTAGGAAATACACTCTGTAAAGTTTCAATCCTTTTAAATTTATGGAGACTTGTTTCACGTCCACATCAGTGAACGTGCGCTTACAAAGAGGTGTCTTGTGGCTGTCAGGGTCAGGCTGCTGGATGGAGTTTCATGTCCTCCTGGCTTTCTTACTATGTGATCTGTCCCTCTCGAAGAGTCTCGAAACTGGCCGTGCAAGTTGTGACTCTCTGTCCCTCTGAGTTGTCAGGTTTGCTTCTTGTGTTTTGAGTCCCTGTCATCAGGTGAAGCACACTTAGGATGTGCATTTTCTCCAAGGAGTGACCCCGTTTTCATTATGACATGACCCCCATCCCCTGCCCCCGTAATCCTCCTTGTTACCAAGTCTACTTTGGTGTGAATCCGGCCACTCTTGCTCCCGTGTTTAGTGTTCGCGTCCTGTGTTCCTTGCTCTTTTGATTTAAAGTGTGTTCCTTGTAGTCACCATACAGTTGGGTCTTTTTAATCAATTGTACACTCACCGCCTTTTAATTGGGCCTCCAGACTCTTGACATTTAATGTTATTATTGTTGCTGGTGGATTGAAGGCTATGCTTGCTGTTTTCTATTTTCCAATCTGTTCTTTGTTCCTTTTTCTCTCTTTCCCTGCCTCCTTTTGGACTATTTTTACATGATTCCCTTTTATCTTTGTTGACTTTTTAGCTATACCTCTTTGTGGTGGCTCCAGGGGGCCCGAGTACATCTTTAACTTGTCCCTAGTACCTTCAAATTACACGATAGCACTTCATGTAAAAATGAGAACACGTGCCGCCATTTCTCCCCGTCCTTTGTGCTACTGCAGTCATATTATTTTTCTTCTGCAGACAGTACATACCCTACCATAAGTGGTTATTATGTCTCCTTTAAACGATGACTTATAGAAGACATTTAAAATAAAATAAATCGTATATTTACACGTTTCCCATTTACAGAACTCTCTGTTCCTTTTGTGGGTCTACGCTTGTTTCACAAAAGAAATGTCTTTTATTTTCCCTCAGTGTGGTTGTGAAAAGACGGTCCACTGCATACGGACACTGTGCTTCCTGTCACTGCTGTGAGGACCTTGTTCCATTGTCTTCAAGCTTGTGCTGTTTTGGCCAAGAATTCTACTGTTCTTTTGTCCAGGTCTTTTTCTCTCCAGCTGCTTTTGAGGCTCTGCCTCTGGTTTTTGCCACAGTTTGAGAAGGAAGTGCCTTGGGTGGTTTTCTTTGTGTTCCTGCTGTTTGGGGTTTGTTATCCTGAAAATCCCAGTTGGTTCTTTTACAGACTTTTCATTCTCACAACAATTCCTCTTGGCCAGTTTTACTTACTTATTCAGCATTCCACAAGTGTTGAACACCTAGTGTGTGCCTGACATCTTGAAACAAAAAAGATCTCAGTTCTCACTGAGCCTATGTCCTGGGGGCAGAGGAGGAAAGAAAACCCAACACACTAATAACGAGATGGTGAGCCTGTGTGACAGAGGGTTAAGCTGCAGGACAAAGTGGAGGAGGTTTAGAAGGGCGGGGCAGTCAGCAACAGAGGCGAAAGGCTGGGGAGAAAGTGCTGGGGTGGGGTGAGCAGCCTTCCAGTCGGAGGGGGTGGCTCCTGGAGACCAGAGTGGCTGGAGTGGCCAGTGGGGAGCAGGCACAGAGGACGTGGGCGGCCAGCACAGATAGGAGGGCCCTGGGGACTGATAGAAGTTTTTGTTATGGGGTTGGGGTGGGGTGAAGGGATCACATGGTCTGACCTTCTTTAGAAGGTCCCTCTGGCCGCTGCAAGGTGCATGGCCTCTTGGGGTCCAAGTGCAAGAGTGGGGAAAGGGGAATGACAGCGGTGACCCACTTATGGGGTGGTAGCAGCGACCTGGTGGTGGCAGTGGGGTGATGGGAAGGACTCCGATTCCTGAGTGGACTGGACATGGGGTGAGAGGAAGAGGGGTTCCGGGGGACTCTAAGGTCATTGGCCCCAGTGAGTGGATAGACGTCTGTCCATCAGCTGAGACGTGAGTGCAGGGGCACGTCACTCAGGCAGTGCGGGACAGGAGGCTGGCCTGGACCATGCAAGCCCTGCAGGCAACTTGGGTGGACACACGGGCAGTGCAGGAGGGAACAAGGGAACGGACAGCTCTCTAGGAATTCTGGGGCAATGGGCTGGGGAGGGAAGTTGGATAAAAAAGGTTTTGTTAGGACAGAAGCAGCGCAGTTGAGCTGATGGGAAATGGAATTACACTGTAGGGGGAATTACACAAGAAAGGGGAACTGCTGATGGGTGCCTGGAGCCGGGCTCACAGGGAGGGCTGGCGTCCTGGGTCCAAGTGGCTTCCCTCTTTCTGAAGAGCTACTCACAGATCTAATCCACATGCCACAAGAGCCACCCTTCAGAACGCACAACTCAACGTTCCAGCCTGGTGATGAGGTTGCACAGCCCTAATTCCAGCTCACGCTGTCACCCCGACAGAATTCCTGCGCCATCACCGGCCCCATCCCTTCCCTCCCAGCCCCGGCAACTACTAGTCTGCTTTGGAGTTGACTTTTCCAGACGTTTTGTGTAAGTGGAATCACGACACTTGGCCTTTTTGACCACCTTCTCTCACTTAGGGTCGTGTTTCTGAAGTCCATCCACGTCCGTTTTAAGGCTGAAGACAGTCGCGTTTGTTCACCATTGTCTGCTGACAGACACTGAGCTGTTTCCACTAAGCAGTTGCCGCTACGGCCACGGCGTCCACACTTTGGGGTGGGCCTGTCTTTGGTGCCCTTACCCCACTCTGCCCCTACCCTAGGCCCTAAGAGAACATCCAGCCTGCCCCCTGACACCTGCTGGTGCTGCCCCGTGTACACTAATGCTCCCCGGCCTCCTCGCTGGGTCAAGCCAACCTTCCTGGGGGAGGGCAGGCGCAAGGGCTGGAGGAGGAGGGGTGAGGGCACAAGCTGGATTGGGGCACCCAGCCTGTGTCAAGACCCCGAAGCTGCAGCACTGAGCAGGACGGGAGAGGAGGGCTAGCCGGGCTGCGTGGCTGTGAGGCCCCTGGGGCTGTGTTGGGGCAGGTGCTCTGAGCCGGGGAGGTGGCGGGCGGAGCCCCAAGGGGCGGTGAGGGGTCAATGTTTCATGATGGCCCGGCTGCCAGTGGGTCTGCCTGAAGGAAGTTCATGTGCCGGGGAACACCTGGTGCACGCGTGCAGGCGGCTGGACCGTGGGTGCCACCTGGGGGCCCTGGCTGTGCGAGGAGCAGACGCCCAGCCCGTGTCCCGCCTCCGGGACGCTGGCCACAGGCAGGCGGGAGATGAGCCAGGGGAGGGTCCCTGCGCTGACGTCAGACCCGGGAAGTGGACCGCGCAGGTGACGCTCGAGCCGACAGCGGGGGAGCAACCCTTC